CCAGAATTCCAATATTATATCCGGTTTAGTCATGAGATTACTGCGCCTAATTTGACAATCCTTCTTTGCCCGTGACAGTACGAATACGTAGTTATGGTGTAATAATCGGTTAAATTGAAAATGAACATAGGTTTTAAATGTAATCTATGTATTTAGTCTAGCTAAGGATGGAATGGACTGGACCAATGAATTCCTACATTACGCCCAATGCACTCTTATAGTTGATAATCTTGAATCATTTTCTCACGACAACGTAAACCTTCTCATCGAAGCTTTTACAAAGTAATATTAATATTTGTTTTTTTTATTAATAGTTACTGTTTAATCGATAATAATTTAATGTAATAACATAGTAGCATTGTCGGAATCGTTTTTAAGGTAAATTGGTAAACTTTCGGACCTTTTGGACCAACTTTGTGAGTATGAAAATTGATTTTGCAAAATTTTATGTAGCTCTAATGGTTCAATATATATAGATCAGATTAAAAACTATACTGTAAAACAATATGCTCTTTGAAGCTAACATATTCTTATTGTAATCTAAATTGAAGCAAACAGCTTTTACAATGACAACTATTTATGAAGAATCTAATTGGAAAATTCGTAGCAAGTTTATAATATTTAATCTACAAATCGGAGTCAGTATAGAAAACTGGTTTTTAACATTTTTATAGCGATAGAAGCAAAAATGAAAAAAAAGCGGACATTGAATCCGAATTATCTTCAAATTCAGGAAGTCGAGGTTTATTTCTTATTTTATTTATTTCACTTTACTTAAGATTTCAATAACGATAAGACAATAATTCTGGTTTATTATAAACAGCAAGTTCGATTACAACTGTTTGTAACACCTTGAGGTGAACAATATATGTATATAAAATCTATAATTTCTTTTTCTATATTTTTTTAGAGTTATACTTAAAGTGATTCAACTGTCAAATTGTGCGAAAAGTATAAAAGGTGCTTGATAATTTTTGTGACGCCTCTTCGTTATTATTTCATTTATTTATTTTACAAACAGTTTTTATTATTTTATATAAGTATGGACACATTAAAGAAATACCGTGAACTGTGGTGGAACCAGGGCAATTTACACCCAATGGCAGAATGGGAAAAAGCGAAGTAAGTGATGCATGTCTTTTTCTACTAAAGATATATAAGCTAATCTTTCATTAATTGTATAAAGGCTCCCATATGTGCTTGTGGAAAATGTGACTGTTGATAAATATGAAGAACGCACTGACCGATTTAATGTTCATGCGTGTTAGGAGTGGGTTTCAAAACTTGAAAAAAATGGAATAGTTTTGGGAGAAGTAATAGTTTATGAACTTCCACTGCAAGCTCATGAGATTTGCATTTGTGAAATCTCTCATTTAATGATCAAACAATGCCTTCCTGTTAAACGGACCGGTGCTACAATTTATAGCTTGGGAGCAACTCGTAAGCATAATTATTGTCGCGGATGATCGTGAAATCGGATGATGGTGAAATTTGGGGTCTTAATTTGAAAATATAAGCCCTACTAAAATCCACCTATACTCTTTTATTAATAACACTAACCCTAAATCCTAACTTAACTATAAAAAAAAACTAACAAAAAAGGCCCTAAAAATTTTTAAATTTCACCATCATCCGATTTCACGATCATCCGTGACAATTAACATTCTTATCATGCTTTTTTTTATTTTTTTAACTGAATTTTGGTTGCTTAAAGGGACCCGTGCCAAAGGTTTTTGTAAAGAGCCCGATGGATCATTTCGCCCAAAGAAATCTGCAGTAGATTCACCAAACGGGGGTGACGGATTGGTACTTTTTTTATTCTTGTATTGCTTTAAATTCTTTAAAGTTTATTTAATACCTTCTTTTAATTTGTAGAACGCACCATGGCCCAATATCGTATTAGAAGTCGCATCATCCGAATCTATCAGTCACGTCAAAGATAAAACAAGTTAAATGGTAATCGCGTTCATGACGTGATTATCGTTAAGCTTTATTATGATGGCGAAAATCAAGTTCCAAGCCGTATGAAAGTAATATATTTTTGCATTATATGTGTTAATTTTTTATTGTATGTCATTTTTAAATCTTTGATCCACAACAGGTATGGCATTATTGCGTATCAGGTCCCTATGTGCAACAAAAACTCAAACCCAAAAATAAAGTATGCTATATCAAGAAGCCTTGTTTTCTGCAATTTACAAAATTTGTAACATATATTGGCCAATTATTAGTTCGAATTTGGTACACACAATGCAAAAGGGGATCCATTAAATTACCAAGAAGGAACATGCTTGATCAAAATTCCTTTAGATTGTTTGTATCATGATTTGGAACCCTCAATTCAGGTTCCTAGACATATACTTACAGATCCAATTATATTGGATTTTTTTTATGTTAGGCAAGCGATCCTTGAATCATACAGTTATAAATTTGGTGAAACGTCTTGAAAGACTTATTTTTTT